GATAGTAAATAAAATAGGATGTCCTGTGTCAGATACTTTATATAACTGCATAATTATATAATTTGTAAGAATAAAGTGATAATTTTTTCAAAATAAAGTGTTAAATTTTTCAAAGAACTAGATTTTCAATTTTCTGTTTATTCTATTTTTTTCTATTTCCTCTTAATTATTTTTATGTAACAAATTGTTATAGGATTTAACTTTTGTTTCGGAAATATTCTAATCATTTTTGCTCATTAATAATAGTATTTAATTTATAAATGTCTTCTATTTGTTTCTCTCGATGTTTATTACTCCCTTGTCAAAACATTAGCTATGTCCTTTGATTACAGATATAATAGTATTTTTGTTTTTGCTTTAAATTATGTTTTAGTCATAAAGTATTTTTCCTTGTAAAATCAAATAATTTTTGATTTACATATATCTTTTTCTGAAAATCATTGCTCATTACATTTGTTCAGCACTTTTAGTGTCTTGAATTCATTTTGCTTTAGATATGTTGCTTATATGCAACATTAAATTATACAATGCAGTTGCTTTGTAAACAGGTGGTTACAACTTATAAACAATTGCTGGCATATAGGGTCACAATTACTTCCTACCATTTTATGTTTTATTTATGGTGAATAATATATTGCTGTGCTTATATTTTACATTGTCTATTTTCTTTGCTCTTCTTTTAGATATTAATATTGTAAGGTATTTAGGAACTTTTCTATAGTTTCTTTTTTCATGGTTGTCTTTGTTCTGATAATTTTATAATGTCCTTCGTAACTGTTTAACCTACTTTCACTATACACTTCATCAAATTTGGATTAGTTAATTAAATTTTAATTATTCCAAATATATAGAAATATAAACTAGTTGTACATTAATCTTGTATCCCACAATCTTTTCTAAGTCACATATTTAGTAGTTTTTACTTTAAAATTATCTACATATTTTATCTGCAAATAATGACAGATAATGCTCACTTCTTTTTTGCTATTAGTGACTGTTACTTTTATATTTCCTGGTGTATTAATGGAATTGGTTAGATCAGATATACTTGCCTTGTTTCTAATCTTATGAACACAGTGTAAAGATGTATACTAATATTTTATTTTATCATTGTTTTATTTTTACTATATCATTTGCTGCAGTTTAAGTCCTGATTATCACATAAAAGAGGTTGTTATATATGAGTGTTAACTTTTTCATGATTCTTCTCCATGAATTAAAATAATTATGTATTTTTTCTTTTATTGATTTTTGAATGTTAAAAACATTTCATTTCTGAAATAAAGAAATTTTTTCCTGTTGGTCTTGATGAGTTCAGATAGAAGATTTGAGTATGACACATTGGCTTAATAAAGTTCAACTCAAAATAGTACTTTTAGCACTTGGTTAACAATAAAAGGACATTTTAACAATTTAATGTAGTATATTTTCTTTCCATGCATTGTGATATGATTTTCATGTACTTCGTTTATATGTATCTGTTTACCCAGAATAAATTAGTATTCGTTATTTTAAACATTCCACGAGGCAAAGTGGCTCACACCTATAATTCCATCACTTTGGGAGGTTAAGGAAGGCAGATCCCTTGAGCCCAATAGTTCAAGACCAGCCTAGGCAACATGGCAAAGCCCATATACATAAAAAATTACCAAAAATTAGCTTGGTGAGACAGCAGGCACCTGGTGTTCGCCTACTCAGGAAGCAGAGTTGGGAGGATTGCCTGAGCACCTCGAGGTTGAGGCTGTATGGAGCTATGACCAGGCCACTGCACTGGAGCCTGGACAATAAAGTGAGACTATGTATCTATCTATCTCTCTATCTCTCTATCTATCTTGTCTCACTTTGTTGAAACTATATATATATATATACGTATATATATATACGTATATATATATATATATGAAGAGAGAGAGAGAGAGAGAGGGAGGGAGGGATCTATTTATCTATATGTATATATCAATACATTAAAAATGTTTAAAAAGACAATGCTATTTTATATCTTCACAATTTTTGAAGAAGGAATAGGGAAGATGATTGACAACAAAGGCACACAAAAGAAATTTTTGACATAATAAGATTCCATATATTTAGAAAATGGTGGTGGTTTTATGTACCAAAACATTTACTTGTACTCTATAAAGTAAAATGATGAATATTACTGTGGTGAATACAGTTACACTAAAACTGATTTTCAAGAATACATTTATTAATTATACATATATATAAACTCAGCATACATATTCTGTATGTATGTATGTATCTATAAATGCTGTGTAGTAGAAATTTATGGTATCACTTAAAGCACAGCTGATTTATTTTCCATTTTGCCTTACTTACCCAGATACTTAGTTCTTAAATGTTTTGTGCATGTTGATCTCTGAAAAATATTGCTGCTTAATTTTTCAAGGGATAATATATAAAACTATTGATTAACAATAGATTTTACTTCATATTTCAGAAAATCATTTTCTTAATTTTACAATTTAAAGAAAACTTTTCAGATTTAGTGAGCTTATTACTTAAAAATATTGTATAATTAATAAAAATATATTAAAAATTAGTAAAACAGTTGGGTTATTATTTTTCCACTAATCCTTTATAATATCAGTATAATTTTATCTAGGCTTATTTTATAAGAATATCTTGGTTTTTGTTCACTATTGTAGATTAGTTTAGCCAAAATTAAGATACCCTATAGATCTATTTTTTAGTGGAAAATTTACAGTGAAATGTGTCACCAAACAATGAAAGCCAACAAATAAAGAGGAGTCCTCACATATTTTTCATGACATCTTACTGATCAGAACAAACTATCTTCTGACATATAAAAACAAAAAATGTGCTTCAATTCCATACTTCTCTGTTTCTGTCATCAAATTTTTTTTCAATAAATAATATTTCAGCAATGTTCTTGAATCACTGTGTATTAGTCTGTTATCATGTTGCTATAAAGAACTGAGACTGGGAAGCATATATATATATATATATATATATACTCACACACATACACACATATATACACACATATGTATATACATATATATATACATATATATGTATATATGTGGTTTAATTTACCTACAGTTCCACAGGCTGTACAGGAAACATGGCTGGGGAGGCCTTAGGAAGCTTACAATCATGGTGTAAGACAAAAAGGAGGCAAGCATGTCTCACCATGGTGGAGCAGGATACAGAAAGAGAATGAAGGGGGAAGTACTACACACTTTTAAACAACAACATCTTGTGAGAAGTAACTACCAAGACAGCACCAGGCACCAGGAGATGCTAATAAACCATAGAAACTACTCCCATGACCTAATCACCTTCTACCAGGCTCCGTTTCCAACACTCAATATCACAATTCAAGATGAGATGTGGTTTAACACAGCCAAACTATATCATTTGACCCCTGGCTTCTGCCAAATTTTATGTCCTTATCCCATTTCACAACACAATCATGCCTTCTCAACAGTTTACAAAGTCTTAACTTATTTTGGTATTAACTCAAAACTCTCAGTCTAAAGTCTCATCCAAGGCAAGACAAGTCCCTTCCACCAATAAGTCTCACCAATGATCCTATTAAAAATAATAATAATAATAATGAGATACAATAGGGGTAGAGGAATTGGGTAACTGCTTCCATTCCAAAAGGGAAAAATTGGCTAACACAAACGGAATACAGGCCCCATTCAAGTCCAGAACCCAGCAGGTTAGTCATTAAATATTAAAGCTTCAAAATAATCAACTTTGATTTCATGTTTCACATCCAGGGCTTGTTGATGCAAGGACTGGGCTCCCAAGGCCTTTCAGCAGCTCTGCTCCTGTGGCTCAGCAGGATACAGCCCATATGGCTACTTTTATAGGCTGGTGTTGAGTGCCTTCAGCTTCTCCAGGTACAAAGTGCAAGCTGTCATTGGATCTAACATTCTGTGATCTGGAGGATTGTGGCCCTCTTTTCACAGCTCTACTAGGCCAGTGCCCCAGTGGGGACTCTGTGTGGGAGCTCCAACCCCACGATTCCTTTCTGTAGTGTCCTGGCAGAAGTTCCACATGAGTGCTTCAGCCCTGCAACAGACTTCTACTTGAACACAGAGGTGTTTTCATACATCCTCTGAAATTCAGGTAGAGACTTCCAAACCTCAACTGTTGCCAATGCAATCTCAACATTACATGGAAGCTAACAAGGCATGGGGTTTGCATCCTCTGAAGCAATGGCCTGAGCTAGTACCTTGTCTCCTTTCAGCCATGGCTGGAGTTGGGAGTGCCTGGGACACAGGCTACCATATCCTGAGGCTTCAGAGAGTAGCGGGGCTTAGGCCTGGTCCACTAAATCATGTTTTCCCCCTAGGCCTCAAGGCCTTTGAAGGGAGGGCTGCCATAAATGTTTCTGAAATATCCTGGAGGCATATTATCAATTTTCTTGGCTAGTAACATTCAGCTCTTCCTTACTAAAACAAATTTTGGCAGCTGGCTTGAATTTGTTTTCAGAAAATGGGTTTTGCTTTTCTACCACATGGTATGGCTGCAAATTTTCCAAACTTTTATGCTCTGCTTGCATTTTAAATATAAGTTCCAGTTTCGATCATCTCTTTTTCATGCATATGAGCTAAGCTTTTAGAAGCAACCAGGTCAAATCATGAATTCTTTCCTAATTAGAATTTTTTTTTTTCCATCAGATACCCAAACTCATCTCTCTCAAAGTCAAAGTTCCACAGATCTCTAGAGCAGGGGCACAATGCTACCAGTCTTTTTTCTAAAGCATAGCAAGAATGACTTTTACTTCAGTTACCAATATGTTTCTCACCTCCATTTGAGACCACCTAAGCCTGGACTTCATTCTTTATATCACTATCAGCAGTTTGGTTACAAACATTCAAAAATTATCTAGGAAGTTGTGAATTTTCCCTCATCTTCCTGTCTTATGTGGAACTCAAGTTGTTCCAAGCTGTGCTCATTTCTCAGTTTCAAAGTCACATCCTCATTTTCCGGTTTCTTTAAAACAATGCCCTACTGCTCTGGTACCAATTTTCTTTATTGGTCTATTCTCACACTGATATAAAGAACTCCTTACACTGGGTAATTTATGAAGAAAAGAGGTTTAATTCACTCACAGTTCCATGGGCTGTACAGGATGTGTGGCTGGGAGACCTCAGGAAACTTACAATTATGGCAGAAGATGAGGGGACACAAGCATGTCCTACCATGGCAGTGCAAGAAAGAAAAAGAGTGAAGGGGGAAGTGCTACAGAATTTTAAACAACTAGATCTTGTGAGAACTCACAAGAAAGCACTACGGTGATAGTGCAAAAGCATTAGGAACTATCCTATGATGCAATCACCTCCCACCAGGTCCCACCTCCAATACAGGAGATCATAATTCTACATAAGATTTGGGTGTGGTCACAGTGCCAAACCATATCACATGGCCAAAAATAATGAGACATTTTGCTTATTAGACGATTTTGATTCCAGGTAATTCAATAACTCTAAATTTACTGTAAGTATCTGAGTAAAATGTAAATATAAGACAGATGCTCATTTGAGATTTTACAATTAGAATTAGTTTGATTCAATTTTTAAGTAAATGAAATTTAAAAACCAGGCAGGGCCGGGCGTGGTGGCTCACGCCTGTAATCCCAGCACTTTGGGAGGCCGAGGCGGATGGATCATGAGGTCAAGAGATCGAGACCATCCTGGTCAACATGCTGAAACCCCGTCTCTACTAAAAATACAAAAAATTAGCTGGGCATGGTGGCACGTGCCTGTAATCCCAGCTACTCAGGAGGCTGAGTCAGGAGAATTGCCTGAACCCAGGAGGTGGAGATTGTGATGAGCCGAGATCGCACCATTGCACTCCAGCCTGGGTAACAAGAGCAAAACTCTGTCTAAAAAAAAAATAAAAATAAAAAATAAAAATAAAAACAGGCAAAAACACCAATTTCATTTCATTTAAGCATATAAACATATTTTTTTACTCCAAATGATAATTCTTTAACTATAATTCAGAAAACTTTTAGAAACAGCAGAAAAAAAATTCAAAATGGTTTAATTAAACCTTGGATCACATAGCATCTAAAAAACCTACATGGTCCTATACTACTTCATAAATATAGACTAGACAAAGTAATTAATCTGGGGAGATTAATTTTCATGTTTATTTTATAATTTTGTTGGCTTAATTTAATATAATTATAGTAAATAATTGTTTAAACTGAAGAAAAATTATTTGGAGGTGTTTTCTTTTTACATGCTGGAATGTAACAGTAAATGAAATAGAAAATATAATGCTATTTGCTACTGGAAAAATGCATGTCATATTTTTAAGTTTTGCTGTTTTATGTTTTCGGCTTTCATTTTGGTTTCATTGTTTACTGTATTTGTTGCTGTTTTGTTATATTTTGTTTTGTTTTTGAGTGTTAGCAAAAATCTCTTTTGGATCTTGCTGACAAAACCAGAATTAAGAAACCACATAAGACACCTAGTTCAGCATTTAAATCCCAAATATCAACGTTCTTAGCAACCTAAGTTGCTAAATGAGCTAAAAAGACATGTAAAAGGAGGTATCTTCTAATTGCTGAACTTCTCTTTTTCTCTACACAGACAACCACTAGATGGTGTCTGTGTATTCTGATATTTCTTGGAAACATCTCAAGTGTGTACAGGAAGCCAACACATGAATTGTTCCTTGAGAAGTGGATCAATGATGTGATTGTTTGGAGAGTCAGGTTTTTACACTTGCTATTAAGCTAGATATTTCTAATGTATCTCACATTCTCCTCTTGCAAAATACATCATTTGGGTTCAATTATTACACTGGAATATTCCCACAACCCCTGTGTTCTTATCTGTCCTATGCAATGTGGCAAAATCCTTATTCAGGTGACTAATATTTACTTCTTATAGCATTAAAAAAAAGTTAAAAGTCAAACAAATTTATTTTTAAACAACATTTGTTTAAGGACAGTGGCAAGCATTAGTTAAAAGATCAGTTAAAAAGATAAGAAATCCCTTATACATTTTAAAGTTTATATTACACAGCTCCCTAAAGTTTTGAAAAAAAAAGCCTTTTTCATATCTGGAAGATTATAGAGATCTATATACTTAAATTTAATTAAATTTGAATTAAATACAATCATTCTAATTATAAAGCATGTTTTGTTGCATCAGTATTTAGAAGACATTATCTTATACTTTTAATGATTAATACTATCAAGGCTTCCCTTGAATTAAGATCATATCATTTTCCATATATCTATTCATTTGCCTATCTACCTATTTATCTATTTATTGGTTTCTATTGGCAGATAATAGATTTATACATAAAAGCTAGAATTGTGACAATTAGCGATAACTTTTTTTTTAATTTCGTAAGCTTTGCATGCCTGTTTTACTTTATGAAATATCATATGTGGGCCCGGTGCAGTGGCTCAGGCCTATAATCCCTGAATTTTGGTAGATTGATGTGGGCAGATCACAAGGTCAGGAATTCGAGACTAGCCTGTGCAACATGGTGAAAACCCATGTCTACAAAAAAAAAAAAACAAAAAAAAACAAAAAACCACAACAACCAGGCAGGGGTGGCAAGCATCTGTAATCCCAGCTACTTGGGAAGCTGAGGCAGGAGAATCGCTTCTACCCGGGAGGTGGAGATTGCAATAAGCTGAAATTGTGCCATCACACTCCAGCCTGGGTGACAAATCAAGATTCTATCTCAAGTAAAAAAAAAAAAAAAAAGAAAGAAAGAAAAAGAACTATTATATGTGATATGGATTAGCCCTGATCCCACTCAAGTCTCATCTAAAATTTTAATTACCATGAGTTGGGAGAGGTGCCTCGTGGGAGATCATTGACCCATGGAAATGGGCTAACTTCTTGCTGTTTTTGTGATAGTGAAATAATTCTTACGAGATCTGGTTATTAGAAAATGTGTGACAATACCCCCCTTTGCTCGCTCTCTCTTGCTCTGCCATGGTAAGACAAGTTTGCTTCCCCTTTGCCTTCCACCGTGATTGTAAGTTTCCTTAGGCTTCCTGGTCATGCTTCTTCTTAAGCTTGCAAAATTGCATGTCATTAAACCTCTTTTCTTCATAAATTACCGAGTCTCAGTTACAGCTAGTGCTCGACTTACGACCACGATTGGTTCTGACAGAGCAGTCGTAACATGATTTGGTCGTAAGTTGAGTAGGCTGTATGTACAGTACTGTGAAATGATGTTATAAAAATCTTTAAGTCATATTTTATCGTAATTTTCTTTCATTATTGTTATATATAATAATTTTCTTTGTTCATTTTATGCCATTTGTATAATCTCTACACCATTTTGTTTCTTATTTTTACATTCGTCAGGTTTAAGTAAAACACTGCATTACCAGTACAACTGGTTTAATATTTGCAAAACATACAAAATTATAAAATACAGGTGCACACAAAAATACAAAATACAGATGTAAAAAATACCATAGGAAACATTTTCCCAATTGCAAAACACATCAGAATATATAAACATGTACGAAACATTTAATTGGCCACTGGTGCTTGGCTGTGGATCGTTGATGTCATCATCTGAGGCAGCAGTTGGGGTTACCGGAGTTGGTTTTTTCGTAAACATGGTGAGCTTTATCTGAATTGTATGTTTCTTTTTTTCTTCATAAATTTCACGATATGGACAGAACACATCATGCGCCATCCATTCAATCCTTGCAAATCGTTCGATGTTTGGGTCCATTGCTTCGAAATGTATAAGAAGTTTATTCAGTAAAGATAAACCGTCTGATAATCCCTTAGTGGTGAACTTTCTTTCTGGCTCCTCCTCTTCTTTCTCTGCTCCTCTTCTTTCTTCTTCCGCCACTCTGTCTTCTTCCAGTTCGATTAGCTCTTCATTTGTAAGTTCTCCGGATTCTTTGTCAAGCAACCCTTCGACATCTTCCATTTCACACTCCAAAGAAAGGCCTTTAGCAAGTTTTACTATTTTTCTGGAATCATTTCAAGTTCATGTTCACTGTCAAATCCGTCAAAATCATTAACATAGCACTTAACACAATTTTTCCAGATGCCATTCATGCACTTTGTCGTCACAGCCTCCCAGACGGTAGCGATATTCTTGATACATATCAAAATGTCGTAGTGTTTCCAAAAATCCACAGCGGAGCAGTCGTGGCTAGTGATTGTGGTCATAAAATCGAATGGTCCTAAGTTGCATAGGTCGTAAGTCAATCAATACCTGTAGTTCTTTATAGCAGTGTGAAAACAGACTAATTCAATATGGTAGTTAATTTCAGAATTCAATGAATGCTATCACTTTATTGAGAAAGGACTGACTATAAGACCAGGACTTGGATATATGTTACAATCTAGACAAGGAATTGTGATCACTTAACAAGTAGAAAGTATTTGATAATCTAATATAACTTGGATGTCTCTTCCAAATCTCATTTGAGATGTAATCCCCAGTGTTGAAGGTGGAGCCCAGTAGGTTGTGTTTGGATCATGAGGGTAAATTCCCCATGAATGGAAATTTGGGCCATCCCCTTGGTGATAAGTGAACTCTTTCTCTGAGTTTAAAGAAGGTCTTGGCATTAAGCAGTGTGTGGTCCCTCCCCACACATTCTCTTTCTCATTGCGTGATAGATTTGCTCTGCCTTTGCCTTCTGCCATAACTGGAAGCTTCCTGAGGCCCCCCTAGAAGCAAATGGCACTATGCTTCTTGTACAGCCTGCAGAACCATGAGCAAATTAAGCCCCTTTTCTTATAAATTACTTACTCTCAGGTATTTCTTTATAGCAATGCAAGAATGGGCTAACACACCATCTACATGAGAGCGTAAGTCAATGATCTTTACATTTGTTCTTTTTAACATAATTCTTTTCAGTAATTCCACATTATTTTATATTGGTTATCATAAGATTTCTTTAAAATTCTTAAGAAAATTGGACAATCTGATTACTTGCTATTTTGAGTCATGCTTTTTTATAGTTAGTAGCATAGAATTATGAAAACCTGAAATGCAATTGTCATGTCCCTGAGAAGGATGTGTGTTCTGTGATTTTTTATGTGTGTATAAATGTATATATATGCATGATGGATAGATAGAGAGATGAATGGAGAGACAGAGAGTTAGATAAATGGATTTATTTTCTGAACTCTTTTACTAAAGAAGTCTTATTTAAAGAACTACAGAAACATTTTTTATAACAACACCTTTTCATACACATCATTATGACTTTCCTGGGAATTTAGCTTATTGTGTTTTTTGCTTTTTTGTGAACATTTGTGTATGCAGAACTCTTTCCTCTTGTGTGATGTAAAACATATATGCTGACGTTTCCAGAGGTGATAAATGTATTGGCTATTAAATCAAGAATTTCTTTTTTTTTTGGGGGAACGGAGTTTTGCTCTTGTTACCCAGGCTGGAGTGCAATGGCGCGATCTCGGCTCACCGCAACCTCCGCCTCCTGGGTTCAGGCAATTCTCCTGCCTCAGCCTCCTGAGTAGCTGGGATTACAGGCACACGCCACCATGCCCAGCTAATTTTTTGTATTTTTAGTAGAGACGGGGTTTCACCGTGTTGACCAGGATGGTCTCGATCTTTAAATCAAGAATTTCTAATGCAATGCTTTATGATTAGTTGCCCTAGACTTATGATAAATGATTTGCTTTTATTTTTCTTCATATGAATGCAGATATTCCTAAACATGACTGTGTGAAATAGAAAAAAAAATATGTCATATAGTGTTTGTTTTGCAAATCTGAAATTAAAGCAAAGTAGATTCAGGTATTATGAACACATAATTTTTAATCGATATTAAAAACTCACCTTTATTATTATTATTTTGCTATTTGAAAATTGGTGATTTACTTTTTCTATTGTTTGCTAAAACATTATTTATTTTAAAACATGCAAATATAGATTACTTTGCTTATCTAATTTTATTAAATACATACATTAAATATACATTTTCAGTATTAAGTACACATTTGTAATTATAAGATTTAGGGCACTATCTTTTTTAAAAAAATAAAAATAAATAAATGACAAAGATTGAGATAGATCTTACTTCCAGAATTACAAAAACTACCTATAAATACGTTGTGTTGAATGTTTATTATTAGGCTTAAAAATGCAAAAAGTGCTTTTCAGTAAATCATTTTATTAAAAAATGTAATATTTGAAATACTTTGCATTATTACATCTACTTTATAAAAATGAAAACAGAAATCAAGAGATTTAAGGAAGTTTGCATCCCATTGCTTATTTTTGACTGAGACTTGGATTTGATTTAAGGCATTTGGACACCAGCGTCCCAAAGGCCTGACTTTCACAAGGAATGGCTGGAAAACATCAAAAATTAATTCTTCATGCAACCTAGTCTAACCATTTTTTTAAAAAAGGTGTATATTATTCCTCAAATTCTTGTTATCAGGCGGGGAGAGAGTATTTTTGGCTGCTTTCTCTTATTCCCTAAGCTTTATTTTTTGTTATTTAGATCCATAGTGGAAGTTCTTTGCTGTGCTATAATATATTATGAATATAAAATCATTTTTCTTGGGATAGTAGTTCTTAAAGTATGGGATATGTTAGTATTTAAAATTATGTTTTTATTCCACAAAGAAAAGGAAGATGGGATTGGGCTAAGCAGGATATTTTAAGTCACAGCTTGATCTATATAAAAATATAGAACTAAATCAAAATAATCAAAATCAGAAGTTTTGACAGCACACACACACACACACACACATGCGCATACACACATGTTAACCAAAACATACCTAAATCTACAGAAAACAGATTACATTCACCTTAGTATGTGTGCAGTTTTGCATTTATTAAGAATTTCCAGAAGAAAAATTTGTAAGAAGAATAGAAATGATTATCATGTTGATGCATGTTTTGGCTAGGAAAAACAGATCAAAAATTTACTGTCAATCATAAAGGGAATTCGTGAAGACATTTCCAGATACTAATATAAAATAGTGTATTGTTTAATAATCAATACTTAAATGTACATGGTAGAAAAATATTATTAATTAAAGAAGAGAATCTGAGTAAGTTAAGCTTAAGACAGTTTAAGAATAGTAACTGCAATGAGGGTACCTGTAATGGCACCATTATGAGGTAATAGTAAGTCTGATTATAAAGACTATAATTTATGGGAATACAATTTTCCAAATCATAAGCTCTATCATTTGTACTGTCATAATTCAACACCCAACAGCAGTAATTTTTTCTTTCCACAAATCTGCAAATAGTAAGTTATTATCCATACAACATGAAAAGTTTATCTTAGACTGCATTTTCCCCTGTATGTTTACATTGTATAATGAAACAGAGCTATTTGTTTATTTGTTTTTAAGCAACTCTTTTAGATAACATAGACATGTCTCATCACACATGACCATTTTGCTGACTAACAATGAGATAAATACCATGATCAGTATTTGGCAATATGTAAATGCCTCAAATGAACCTAGATTCTATGTTGCCAACTGTGTACATCTGATGGCAAAATAAACTATCTTTGTACCTACATAAAAGACGGCATGAGAACTTGTGGTTGTCATAATTTAGTTTGTATTATACTTTTGTTAAAGCTTTCATCAAGATTTTTGTCAGTCTTAACAAATGGTAATGGTGAGGAATAGCTATATTCTGTTGTCATATAAAGAATTTTCCTCAGAGAAAATTTAGAATTGCTAATAGCTTGCTTTATCAAATATCTACTTTATGATCTTAAAGAGATTACTCGGCTAGGAAGATTTAGAATTAGATGAAATGACTTCATACTACATTGAAAAACTTGAGTTTCTGTCTGTTAGGGAAATACTCCCTTTTCTGGATTTGTCTTTGAGAGCCAATAGAGTAGATATAATAGATTAGAAACCAAAGATAGACAGCATTATTGTTTTACAAACTTCCACTGCCTACCTTTTTTCTTTTTCTTTTCTGCTTGAAATTACAGTTCCAACCATTCATGGACCAGTTTAGCTTAAAATATGTCAAACATATTACAGTTGCATAACTATTATAAATCACGTTCTCCCGTGGAGGCATGAGATCCCTTATAAACAATTTAAATACCTTTGCATAATTCCAACAGGAAGTAATGATTAGAGAGGGACCTTACATATCTTCTTAATCAGCTGAAACAATAAATTATTTGCAAGAGAATTTGTATTAAAGTTCACAGATTCTAGCACCTATCAGTAAAGTGAGTTGACAAAAGTATTTTATATGATCTTATCCAGCAAGCATCCATGGAGAAGATGTATCTTAGGTAGAAAGCAGTTCTAAGTTTGTGGTTCTGGATAATCCTATAAGGTACTTCCTGAGAAGGGGATTTCAATCTTTAAAAGAGATACAGCTTAAGACACCTTATGAGGGCCTATTATTAGTAATTACTTGTATCTTCCTTTTATCTAAACATCATAGAAGAAAAAGCCAACAACATTATGACCCTATGTTATATTGGTTTTGTTTGTTGGGCAATAAAGCCTGAATGCAATTTTCTTGTTTGGGATTGACTTTGTACTCTTGATGGGAAAACATAAGATGTTATATTATTATTATCTTGTATTTTCACAATTTTCATCTGATATGATCTTAAAAATCTCAAATCTTCTTACCAGGGCTTCACCACTTGAAAGTGACGATCATTAAGAAAAAAATACCGCTGAGCACTGTGGCTCATGCCTGTAATCCCAGCACTTTGGGGGGCCACAGCAGGTGAATCACGAGGTCAGGAGTTTGAGACCAGCCTGAACAACATGATGAAACTCCGTCTCTACTAAAAGTTCTAATATTAGCTGGGTGTGGTGGTGCATGCCTGTAACACCAGCTACTCAGGAGGCTGAGGCAGGAGAATCACTTTAACCCAGGAGTTGAAGGTTGCAGTGAGTCAAGATCACATCATTGTGCTCCAGCCTGGGTGACAGAGTGAGAATGGGTAGAAAGAAAGAAAGAAAAGAAAGAAAGAAAGAAAGAAAGAAAGAAAGAAAGAAAGAAAGAAAGAAAGAAAGAAAGAAAGAAAGAAAGAAAGAGAAAGAAAGAAAGAGAGAGAGAGAGAGAGAAGGAAGGAAGGCAGGCAGGCAAGCAAGCAAAGCATACTGATTTATTTTCTTATCTAAAGTATGAAATGGCAATGTAATTTAACATACATAACACAATAACATCATTTAAATATGTTTAACTGTTTTCCAATAGCTTTTATTTAAAGATTGATTTCTGGGTCAAAGTTTTATTTTCAACAAATGCACACCCAGTAGTTTAAGCAGTAAATGGTTTGTTGAGCAATACTAGGAAGCTCACAGACTGTTTGGATAGACAAGAGCAACAAACTCTCAGTAGAGTGTTAGAAACAATCTCAGAAGAAAACACAGAACAAGCTTTATATAGAAGATGGCGCTGCTTCCTTTAATCTTATTTTGTGATAGCTATGTAGCAGTAAGAAAACTACAACAGCTGTATTCTCCAGAAATATGCTACTTGGAATTTTACCTGTGTCAACAAAATAGATTACCCATGCCTCATTGGGTAATCTATTTGTCTTACAGATTTATATTCTAAATCAAAATTCTACATGGTTTTATTTGATATGCAGTCCTGAAACGATGTGTCCTACATATCTGTACTCTGGTAGCAAGGAAAAGTGAGAAGTATAATTTGTTTTGTTTTGTTTTAGCTGTATTTACCATATTTGGAGTTAAAATTCAAACAGCAATTACAGTTTGGAAATGATGGTGTTGCAAATATTTTAGACTGCTACAAATGAGAAGCACACACTTTATTTGACTCCTTAGATAGCAAAAAGTAACATATACTTTAGCATGCATTCTATTCTTAAATGCTTCTGAACAACAAAAAGATAACACTCTTTCTAAAACGAATGCAATTGACACTGGAACTATAGTAAGGCCTAAGAGAGGTGCCCAGGACAAAAATTTTAAGATGGCATTAATTGCAAAATGTAGAAAGAAGCCCAAATGTCAAGTTGCAAATTAAATATATCTGGAAAATTATCTTTTTGGTAGACAAAGTCTTGCCGTAACATTATATTACCTATGACATAAATTACAGAACTCACCACAACTAAGACAGTCTATATTTAATTCTAGAGTAAAGGGATAAAATTTAAAAGGGAATGAGTTTAAAATGTAATTATAATTATTAAAACTCAAATATAGAAGAAAATGTATGCACCAATTACATTCCTTGTCTCTCCTGTATATCCCATACTTCTGTGATGTCAGCTTGCATTTCAATCATGATAAGCAAGAAAGAGAAATACATTTTCAAAATAAGCACCTATCCATAGAGGAGAAATTCCTATTTCCTAGATGATGAAATATGTTTCAGGTACTCTATTAGAAGATCAGGAAATATTACAATTTCTGGGAAGTTTTTACTGATGCAACATTAGGTGTCAGATGACCTATGGTAAAAGAAAACTTAGGCTACCAAGCCCTTGCATATGCGTTATATTTGACACCAAATAAACATTTTTCACAAGCATTGGAAAAGCCAAAAGAAGCGGTCTAAATCTTGACTGCTCCTACAAGAAAGGCATGCTCTCCACCACAGAGCTATTTTCCCCCTCTAGTTACCAAGACTGGCTAGGTTCTTTGTAAGTTGATCCCTGGGATAAATGAATAATCAACCACTAGCAAAGGGCTCTGAGAGTGTATCTATTTGGCTTGCCACTTCTGACCTGCTGTCCAATCTGAAACATGTACAATATCTTCTTGTATCTGTTTGCTAAGTGCCTCTATCTGGCTTTACTCCATGTTATTGGGGAGTTCATTGCAGAATTTCTCACTTACATCCCTATCTTCCTGAGGACAGCCGATACAAGGTTTTCCAGATCGTTGTCCTTTTCCATACTAGTGCAATTTTTCTTTCTTTCCTGAAGGGAATGTTCTCAGACACATCTCCAGGGATATAATTAAAGAATAGTGAATGATTCACACATTTTGTCAAGCTATATATCTCCTGGCATTTGGATTACTTCTCTATATGGTTTACGATAATTTATGGTATCTCAATTATTTTAGAATAAGCTAATATCGAATACCAATCAATGTTTTCTACCAATCAAATAAACAATTGCTATCATTCTAATCCATCTATTTCCACTATCTCTTGATATGCGTGAATATCTGACATAAGTTTTTCTGCTACAGATTTATTGTAATTCAATACTTTATATAATCACAATCTTATTTCTTTCTAAGTCTTTTCATGGCTACAAAGAAAAATATAATTCTTCCAAGGCAGTCTAGCAATTGCATGGTTCTTTGAATCTACTTTTGTACAAGAACATAAAATGGCAGGCTTGAAATTGTCTTTCTTTTAAGCTTTTCATAGCACTTACATGTACTCGACCTGCTCATTCATTTTTATGATCTTTAAGATCATAATCATAATTTACAACAGCACACATTAATTCTACAAAATGGATTGCCTTGCTTTCAATAGAAACATCGGGATAGGTGATTCCTTATCTGTGAAAATTTAAAACAGAGGGAAAAATGCTTCACTTAGCATATGGTAAAAACTGTAAGAATTATTTCCTTTGATGATAATTTGGATATAACTTCTTCCAAAATTAATCAGATTTCTACTTTCCTCAAAGTATTTTTCTCTGAAACCAGTCTTAGTATTTTTTATTTACCAACATAATTAGTTTCAGATACTAAAATTAGCTGTTTCAAACAGGAAGGAATCTTCTGAAACGAGATTAAAACAAATTATAAGCTAACTCACAAAACTTTTTGGGGAGCTTTAAAAAAAGATTCTGGCTACATTTCTAGGGTGCCGTTGAAGGTTAAACTGTTGTTTAATGCTTGAGATATTTATAGACAGGATCACTTTGCCACCAGAGTCAGGAGCTTGCTGTTACTCCTTTTTATCAAGAAGTGTGCTTTTCCTATTTGCTATTTGTGCAGTTACCCTATTTTTCATTTTTCATTGTTTTCATCTAAAATAAAATCTTATACTGATACATATAATCATTTGTTTAAAAAGATTTTGCATGGTAATGAGTAGCAAATGCACAATCTAACATCTATCCAAAATACATACAAACAATACATACAATTGAATACTTATACAAGGAATACTTATGCAATAGTTGTTTCAGTTTACTTTGGCATGTTAAATATAACAAATATCTTTCTGTCCAGAAAAGGAAACGGAGTTGGTCTGGATGCCAAAATGCTGTTAAACTGGCTTTACTGTGGGAGCTACAGACATGACACATTAAAGCATAGCACCAATTTCTGAGAAGTCTTGAGAACAATGAGCTATTAAATGGTGTGTTTGTGTGTATACTCTATATATTTCATTTCAGTGTTTGATATCATGCTCTTACTACAAGTTCACCCTCTTAAACGCTGAAGAAAAAGAAATGAAATTTGAACATCTCTCCAGCATTTCTTTTATTTGAGTCTAGTATGAAATGATTTTTTTTTTTTCAGATGAGGTCATGGTTAATCTGGTACTGCATCCCTGGGAAAGAAGGAAGTGACTGGATTGGTTTCATGAACTTAAGCATGGATGAAGATTGGAATGAGAAGTTGTTGGATTATTTTCCATGGAAAAAGCTTTTAAAAGTAGCCTGACTCCAGAAGTAAGTTTTTTATACGCTATTTGATTTTTCTCCTTTATCGTGTGAACATAGATAACAGGCTAGGAGGTGCAGTGAGACAGTCTCTCTGTGTTTCCCAGGCCATAGGGCAGTATCACAATCCAGGCTCACCACAGCCTCAATCTCCCAGACTCAGGAGATCCTCCCACCTCAGCACTGTTTGCAGCTGGGACGACAGGTGACCACCACCATACCCAGCTAATTTTTGCATCGTTTTGTAGAGACAGGTTTGTCTCTTGTACTCAAGAAAGATATATTACTATATGTTTGGAAGGACAAGCTAAGAATGGGTGATAAATTGTTTAGGACATAGTTTGCACACAAGTTGCACGTTGCTTGAACTTATTTTAGAGAAATGAAAAACAAATCCATATTTTTTTAAGCCAGAGATTTTCAGTTCTCTGCTGCTAAGGCTGAATTTGATATTTAAAGTTTTTATTTTATTTTATTTTATTTTATTTTATTTTTTCTTTAGGTAGAAAAGGCCAGGTTTGGTGGCTCATTATTGTAATCCTAGCACTTTGGGAAGTGAAGGATCCCGTGAACCCAGGTATTCAAGACCAGCCCAGCAACGTGACAAAACCCATCTCTACAAAAAATGCAAAAATTAGCCAGGTAAGGTGATGGTCACCTGTATTCCCAGCTACGAACAGTGCTGAGGTGGGAGGATCTCCTGAGCCTGGGAGATTGAGGCTGTGGTGAGCCTGGATTGTAACACTGCCCTATGGCCTGGGTAACACAGTGAGACTATTTAAAAATATATATATACAATCTCCACGCTTAGAATGAAACCAGTAATTGTGTTTGGTAATTCTACTTTATTTTATTCTCTTTCCTTTTTTTTTTTTTTTTTTTTTTTTTTTCATTCTCATGTTGAAAGTGGAACCTATAGAAGCACAGAACATTTTTCCTTTCATTTTCTCCTCCCCTTGTATCCTCAAGTTTACTTTAATTCAATACCTCAGGGTTATTAATTATTTTTATGTCTTCTGTTTAAAAGATAATGGGAAGAGAACTAAGTTAAGTTTTTTTTTTTTTTTAACTTCAATAAGAAGCCAAGCTTTTGAACATATTGGAGCTTGAACTTTCAATGAAGTAAAGTCTTTAACTGAACTTAAATCATCTAATTAAATAGAGTTGTCATTTTCCAGAGCAGAGGAATTTCAGTTAAACAAGCATTTCCAAGAATTTTAGACTATATGAAATGCAAACCACATCTCTGTTGTTGCTCGTTTTCCTCTTTTTCATTCTTTCTTTTTTTTGTAATCTCATATACTTCTTAGTTTTTAAATTTCATTTTAGATTTGGGGGTACCTGTGAAGGTGTGTACATAGGTAAACTCATGTCATGGAGGTTTGTTGTACAGATTATTTCATAATCCAAGAATGAAGTCCATTACCCAATAGTTATCTTTTCTGCTTTTCTTCCTCCTCCCATTCTCCACCCTCAAGTAGATTGCAGTGTCTGTTGTTTCCTTAATTTGTGTTTATAAATTCTTATCATTTAGCCCCCACTTATGAGAACATGCAATATTTGATTTTCTGTTTCTGTGTTAGTTTGCTCAGGATAATAGCCCCCAGCTTTATCCATGTTCCCACAAAAGACATGATCTTGCTCTTTTTATTGCTTCATAGCATTCCATGGTGTATATGTACGTTTTCTTTATCCAATCTGTTATTGATGTACATTTGGGTTGATTCCGTGTCTTTGCTACCATGAACAGTGCTGCAATGAAGATTCACATGCATGTGTCTTTATGAGAGAATTGTGTATATTCCTCTGGGTATATACCCAGTAATGAGATTGCTGGGTCAAATGGCAGTTGTGCTCCTAGCTGTCTGAGGAATAGCCAAACTGCTTTCCACAATGGTTGAACCAGTCAACCCTTCCACCATCAGTCTAGTGTTCCCTTTTCTCTGGAACTTCACCAGCATCTGTTATTTTCTACTTTTTAGTATTATAATAACAGTCCTGACTGATGTGAGGTGGTATCTCATTGTGGTTTTAATTTGCAATTCTCTAATGATCAGCGATATTGAGCACTTTTTCATATGCTTATTGGTCACATGTATGTCTTTTTTTGAAAATTGTTTGTGACCTTTGCTTACTTACTGATGAGATTGTTTTTCTCTTATAATTTGTGTAAGTTCCTTATAGATGCCAGATATTAGACATTTCTCAAATGCACAATTTGCAAATATTTTCTCCCATTCTGTAGGTTGTCTTTTTACTCTGTTGATAGTCTCTTTTGCAGTGTAGAAACTCTTAAATTTAATTAGATCCCACTTGCGAATTTTCGCTTTTGTTGTGATTGGTTTTGGTGTCTTTGTCATGAAATCTTTGCCCATTCCTGTGTCCAGGATGGTATTGCCTAGTTTGTCTTCTAGGGATTTTATAGCTTTGGCTTGTACGTTTAAGTTGTTAATCCATCTTGATTTCATTTTCGTATATAGTGTAAGGAAGGCATCCGGCTTCAGTCTTCTGTATATGGCTAGTTATTCCAGCACCATTTCTAAATAGAGTCATTTCTTCATTGCTTGCTTTTGTCAGCTTTGTCAAAGATCAGGTGATCTTGACTGGCAGCAATGACTAGGTAAAAAGTAAAAGATTAAGTATTTTATTCCCTTGGTACATTTTTCTTACTTCACTGAGAACTTACTTGTTTTTATTCAGTGAATTTTAAGATCTACACATAACAGAATTCTTCATGAAAAATAGAGATGCTTCTACCTCATTTAATGAACTTACATATTTTTCCAGGATTTTTTAATTATTCAGGTTAGTTGAACCAGTGTGATTTATTCTTCAAGACTAAAATGAATTGTTCACTTGAAGTACTTTAACAGTCAACATTGTTGAAGCAGAGCTGTTTATTATACATAATTCAAATGAGTTTAGCCTGTATTCTATAAACTACCAGAATGCCTCATTAGTCCAAATGGATATCGCTGTGAACCAACAGGATACTCATGATTTAAAAAAACATGTTTTCATTAACGATTGACCTATATAATAGAGGATCTTGTCTCCAGGTATAGAGAAGAAGATGTCTAAAATATAAGTACTCCAGTGAAAATCACAGAAAGCTATGCTATTCTCAGATTATGAGTATTTTTTATGAAAATGAAGAACTGCCAAGAAATGTCATTTTTATATGAATCTAGGCTATCAACCACACAATAAAACTTTGCACATTTTAACCAAGTAACAAACCTATCAGAAAAATGAGGATTTGCAACACGTGTGCTTTTAGGAATTAAAATTTAATGTAAACATCCTCAGATATAATTGAAAAGATAGTGACTTTTATTTTTAACATGCACAAAACTGTCACTAAATTACATGGATACAAACAGTTTTGAGTATGGATGTGAAATTATACTAATAAATACCTCATCTGTGTTTGGAAACAATGCAAAGCACAGGGAATACACACTTACATTTATAGTCTATATAAGATCTATGAGCATATATGTAAAATGCATACACATATATACTCATACACATGTGTATGTTTAGTCCTATACGTTACTTGTTTTCATATATATATATATATACACACACATATATATACATATATATATAATGAAAAACACTTTTATAGCTCTAACTCTACTATCACTATGCATATAAAAATAGAGACAATTATAAACGAGAGACAAGAATAACAGAGAAGAGATGATTCTCAGATTTTCTTCAAGAACAAAATCACAGGTTCTCTAATGACAATTATATATATGGACTGCAATTCTTTCTTTTTCAGATATGGTTGAGCTTCTTTAAAGAGACCACATAGTTAATACCCGCAATGGAGATTGTATTGCTTAGGTAGAGTATCTTTAAGGTTCCATGTAATTGTTTTAAAAGGTATAAACCTTAAGAACTGTTTTGAATTTGTTTCATTTTGACTTTTAGCCACTCAATAATAAATTTTCTGTGTATGCTTTTCCCAGTGTCATAGAGACTAGAAGCCCAGAACATCTATTTCTTCATAATTCCTGTCAGCAGAATTTTAGATTGTATTCCACCAACACAAGGCATTTACAAAAGCATTGGAGGGGATAACAGAAGCAAATATCATTCCTGTTCATATGGATGTGACAAAGAATCACATGGGCCAGGAAATGCATATGACAGACGTAAGGTTTTGCTAGTGACTTCGGACATTGTCTATCAAAATACTCCCACTAGTGCTGCAGAAGTTTGAGAAAATCAATGACTACTTCCCATGTTAACTAAAACATTTTGATCTTCCAGAAGTCACTGGCAGATTTCCTTGGCTTTTTCTTCCGCAACTTTTCTAGCTGTTTTATAAGAGCTGTTTAGAAATCCCTTTCTTAAATGTCTTTCTGTTTGCTATAGCTACAGTGCTTTCTGTTTTCATGATCATAGCAAGACTTATTGAGAAAAAATCTGCAAATGACATACCAATAATACAACATTTTTATAAACAGCAACTTTTAATACAATATGCTATATTTTAATTTCTCATTCGTCTCATCACTGATGCCATGTTCTACTTCACATGTCAAAAATATTTAAACTTGGCAATAAATATATATGCTTATATTTAATCTGTGACAAAAAATGAAATCATTAGCTTAAGAGCATGAATTATTGTCACTTCTAGGAATCACTTAAGGAATAACCATAATAGACTGTTATAATAGTTATGTTTTTAATTCACAGATAGCCTTACTTAAGCGTATTCTGACTTTTATTTTATGTTTGCAATGTACTAAACAAACAAAATTTTATGTCTTGATTTTCTTACTTTCAGTTTGTAATACCTATTTAATTTCCATAGTCACTCTGTAACTACGTCATGGAAAACACAATATTTCTAAAACTAGCTATTTGGGTTTAATATTATTTATTAAATAAAATATAGTTTTTAAAAGAATTGCCTCTGATGGTGGTGGTGGCCCATCTGGAGCAGCCTCTGTGAGGGTGCCAGCTGCAGTGGCGGAGGTACAGCCAGGGCTGCACACTCTATGGAGCTAGCAGGAGCCAGGAACTGGTGGGAACCCTGCCCCCTGCTGAGTTGGTGAGGCAGAACAGCTAGGCTCTGAGACACAGCTGCAGCTATCCAACTGCAGCTCCAAACTCAGGATCCCTGTACTCTTGGGGACCAGGAAGCACCTCTCCCCCAACTGGCTCAGATGTCCCTGTTCTTACTCCCTGGACTCTGCCTTGCCCTTGGCACCTGCAATAATTTTGAAGGAAAGTTGTGGTCAAGCCTGAGTGCTGTTGCAACCCAGCCAGTTGTGCACATACTAAAGACAGCACTGACACTATACCCCACCACTGCCTTGGTGTCTTCCAGATTTTGGGTGCCAAGGAGCACAGGAGGGAGACTGGAAGGGGCTAATGGCAGCTTGTCACAGGGTTGCAAGTTCTCTTCAGTGAAAACGGGGTGGTTAAGTTGGACTGAATGCAGATGGTGGGAGGCAGACAGGTTCCTGGGCACAAAGGGTTGAAACCCCTGTTGAAACCCCACCTTCAAGCCAGGGATGGGCTACCAGTTCCAGCTTGGAGTGAGAACTTATGGTGCTTTTTTTGGCTCACCCATGGCCACCTATTGATCAATCAGCGCTCAATTCTTCCCTTCTGGGCATATAAAAACCCCAGACTCAGCCAGACTCACACAGACATCGGTACTACCAGCTGCAAGAAAGAGTTACCCACTTTGGATCTCCGGTGAGCTGTTTTGTTGCTCAGTGAAGCTTCTCTCTGTAATGCTCACCTTCCAGTTTTCCACTCATCCTACCTGGACATTGAACAAAAACTCAGGACCTGCCAAATGATGAGACTGAAAGAGCTATAACACAAACAGGGATGAAACATGCCCCCTACTCATCACTAAAAGGAGAGAAGAGAGATGGAGAGAAGAGCAGCAGCCCTTTTGGAAGGCTAGACCTAGGTGCTCCCCAAGCCAGGGCTGTGACACTCTTTGAGGCTCTGCAGCTCCTGGTGTCTCCAAGCTGCCTGGCACCCACAGTGGAAGCTATTTTTAATACACCTGGTCCAGTCACAGCCTCACTGGGAGCTGGTACCTGTGCCAGAGCCTCGAGCTGCCCACTCTGCCACAGCTGGCACACGTGGCTGTGAGCAGTGGCCAGAACCCACACTGGCTTGCACGCACCTCACTGCTCTATGCCTTGCTCACCCTTGGCAGGCATGGGATCTGAGCTACTAGCATGAGCCAAGCACAGCCTGCTGGGCCGAGGGGATGGAGCCAGCCCAGTGACCTGAAAAGAGCTCAAGCAAAGACGCTACTAGCCACAGATGGAAAAGTGGCTGGTTCTGAGCTGAAAAAGTGACACCCTAAGGATCCTGTGACCCTTCCATCATATTTTCTACTTTGAACTCAAGGAAAAATATGTAAAAATAAAGCCCAATATTAAAGGTAACTGATTCCAGATTTCTGTTAATATCTACAATTGTTATCTAAAATCTGTTATAAAATTTTAAATTATCCCTTGACATTGTTCAATTTTATGTTTATAATTAGGATATGCTTTAAATTATTTACTTTGGGTTTCAAAGAAATTTAATTATTACATTTATTTAAATATTATTTAAATTTAAATATTACATTTATTAGTGTCACAGAAATGTGACACTAATAAAAAATAAATATGCTTTCAGAGCAGTTGGATTATTTAGGACACAGGACTATTTAATTATTCTAGTCTCCTAGATAGCAGTTCAATATATTTCTCATACTTGACTGCACCATTCTGTGATACATAAAATGTAAAACTAAAGATATATATTAGATTGTATTTGAGCCTATTTTATTTAATTTGATGTATTAATAAAAATTCAGGTTAGTGTATACATGACTATTTTAAGCAACTTGAATACGTTTCCATTGTTAATGTTTTTGCAATGTAATACATAAGGTGTATAGTTCTCTATGTGAACAAGATATAAGTTCAATGTGAGCGTTAAATGTCAAATTGTATCTCTATTTAATTCATACAATTAAATTTCATGGTAAGGTGTTGAGGTATTATTTGATGATAAATATTAAAATATTAATGAAACAATTTTCTTTGAAAAATGTTTAAATAATTTAAAAAATAGTATGCTCTTCTTGTCTGTAAATGTTAAACTTAATAAAAAAATAGCTAAGCAAATTAAGTTTGAAGTAGATATATGATCTGATTCCTATAAAAAAGAAACATTTAAAAATTTGTACTCCCAGAGTTTGATCACTAAATTAAAGAAATCTCTTTTATTGTCACTTGAAAATTTCTCTTTTGAATATTTTGTACTTTAAAATAGAAAAATGCTAAAATAAGTTCATGTTAATAAAAGACAAATATGTCAGGAGAATCTCTTGAACCTGGGAAACAGAGGTTGCCATGAGCCCAGATCATGCCACTGAACTCCAACCTGGGTGACAGAGCAAGAGTCTTTCTGAAAAATTATAAAAATTAACATAATTAAGGTAATTTGTTCTATATCTTAGAAATTTAAAAACTGAAACAGATTTTTAAAGATGGTTTCACTTTTACTAGCTCTTTAGAAGTTAGATTGCTGACATGAAAATAATATTAAATACAAATATTTTTGTTCTTCTACTAACATTAAAAATTTGGGGCCGGGCGCGGTGGCTCAAGCCGGTAATCCCAGCACTTTGGGAGGCCGAGGCTGGTGGATCACGAGGTCAAGAGATCTGGTCAACATGGTGAAACCCCGTCTCTACTAAAACTACAAAAAATTAGCTGGGCATGGTGGCGCGTGCCTGTAATCCCAGCTACTCAGGAGGCTGAGGCAGGAGAATTGCCTGAACCCAGGAGGCGGAGGTTGCGGTGAGCCGAGATTGCGCCATTGAAAACCAGACTGGGTATCAAGAGCGAAACTCCGTCTCAAAAAAAAAAAAAAATTGGGGGAAATGTTTAGATGATAACAACAAAGATACTTTTTTATATAGTTTTGTTTTAACAATTGGTTTGAAATCTATATATCATTTATTCAAATATTAATTGAGCAATAATAATATACCACATACTTTTTAAGGTATGAGTAGTATAGAAATAAACAAAACATAGGAAGTTATCTATCCTGATTGGCTTACATTCAAGAAAGACAGAAACTAAAAAAAATGTCAATTATATAGTAAATTGTATGATGATAAGGGAAATAATAGAAAATAATCAAGAAAGATGATTAAGGATTGACACATTAAATAAGTTAGGTCTTTAGAGAGAAAATGGCAA